GTTGTAGACCCATTGGGATTGTTGACACCTGCAAAATTGAGCAAAAATATAAGCAAAGCAGTGCAAGATGAAATAAAAAAAGTTTTCCTGACATCGTTAAGACTGTTGTAGGAGATGTGTCATCAGCAACCACCAAACGTTTTGCCAACAACTATTGCGTCGACATAAACATATATATAACATCTAAATATGAGTTTTTTACGTATTAAAAATGTAGGATTGATGGAGTGTTGAAACTTCAAGCCGTGATAAAAAATAGAAATATTCGCTAAATCCTTTACTGTTACCGCTTCTTGGTTGGCAAACAATAGCATAATATTACTGTAGCAATTTCGTTATCTAACTCAAAATACTTTGGTAGATGGAAGGGATAATATGTCTTCTATTACCACCCAAAAAACACCGAAATTTGCATAAATCAAAAACACTCCCTCGTTCCGCCGCAAATAAAACTCCCATGGTAAACGAAAGCGAGATTTACCGTCGCTTATGTTAATCTCGAAGAAGGCTTCTTATCAATAAACTAAAACCCGGAAAAACTAGACCAACAGTTTGCGACCGATTGCTAAATAAAACAGTGGAGTACATCAACGTACCCGCCGCAAACTAGCGAGTTTTGTCGTGGGTACGTATACGTGCCCACCGCACGGAAAGGGTTAATAAATATTCAATATCATTAATAAACATATACTTCGTGCATTATTGTATCAGTACTAATATAATTAGGAAAATATTATATCGAACTAGAACTAAAATAAACACTAGTTGGAAACAGTAAGCCTGCCTAATTAAACACATGTAACATATTCACCTGTATTCTCTTTTTCTAATTTCTTCATTGTCTTCATAATTATGTGCCTGTGAAGCTAGAATAACATTAAAAATATCTGAGCCTAAAAAAAAATTGTTAAATATTTACAATTATTGTTTCGATTTTCCTTGTATCTTCTTTTGTCAATTTCTTCATTGTCTTCAAAATATCTTTCAAGCCTAAAAAAATCGTAAAATATTTACATTCATTGTGTAAAATTTCCTTATATCCGTCTTCTCTTAATTTCCTCATTGTCTTCAGAATTCTGTGCCTGTGAGCTAGAATATCATTAAAAATATCTAAGCCTAATAATATCCCTATTATTCCTAATGGCGGGAATGGGTCTAAACTAAATCTATCTATAACAAATAAAACATTGAAAACAAAAAAGCCATGGGTAGCCCTGTTAATATTTTTCTTCTTTAGTCGGTGTCACGATATCCTGTTTCCTGAGAAAACATCTCAAAAATAGAAGGTAAAATAATGATCATGACAAATAAGATAGGCACAGATGGATACAACATATTACTAAAAAATGCTTTATTAAGAAATACTCAATATCAGCAATAAACATCATACTACGTGCATTATTGTATCAGTACTAATATAATTAGGAAAATATTATATCGAACTAAAATAAACACTAATAAAATAAACTAAAATAAACACTAGTTGGAAACAGTAAGCCTGCCTAATTAAACACATGTAACATATTCACCTGTATCTTCTATTCTTAATTTCTTCATTACCTTCTTAATTCTGTAACTGTGAAGCTAGAATAACATCAAAATATCTAAGCCTAAGAGAAATTGAAAATATTTATATGTAATTTGTAGATTTTCGTTGTATCCATCTTTTCTTAATTGCTTCATCGCCTCCATAATTCTGCCCTTGAGAAGCTAGAATAACATTAAAAAGATCTATGCCTAATAAAATTCGTAAAAATATTTACATGTAATGTGTAGATTTTCCTTGTATCAGTCTTTTCCTAATTTCCTCATTACCTTCAAAATTTTGTGCCTGAGAAGCGAGATTAATATCTCATCCTGATAAAATTTGTAAAAATATTTACATGCAATGTGTAGATTTTTCTTGTATCCTCTCTTCTTAATTTCTTCATGGCCTTCATAATTCTGCCCCTGAAACGCTAGAATACCATTAAAAATATCTAAGCCTAATAATATCCCTATTATTCCTAATGGCGGGAATGGGTCTAAACTAAAAATATCTATAACAAATAAAATATTAAAAACAAAAAGCCATGGGTAGCCCTGTTAATAATTTTCTTCTTTCGTCGGTGTCACGATATTCTGTTTCCTGTGGAAAATATCTCAAAAATAGAAGTGAAAATAGTGATTAGGATAAAGAAGATAGACGAATATGGAGACAACATATTACTAACAAAAACTTTATTAATAAATATTCGATATCAGTAATGAACATTATACTTCGTGAATTATTGCATCAGTACTAATATAATTAGGAAAATATTATATCGAACTAGAACTAAAATAAAGACTAGTTGGAAACATTAAGCCTGCCTAATTAAACACATGTAACATATTTACCTGTATCCTCTTTTTCTAATTGCTTCATTGTCTTCATAATTCTGTGCCTGTGAATCTAGAATAACATTAAAAATATTTGAGCCTAAAAAAATTCGTAAAATATTTACATTTATTGTGTAGATTTTCCTTGTATCTTCTTTTGTCAATTTCTTCATTGTCTTCATAATTCTGTGTTTGTGAAGCTAGAAGATCATTAAAAATATGTAAGCCTAATAATATCCCTATTATTCCTAATGGCGGGAATGGGTCTAAACTAAATCTATCTATAACAAATAAAATATTGAAAACAAAAAAGCCATGGGTAACCCTGTTAATATTTTTCTTCTTTCGTCGGTGTCACGATATCCTGTTTCCTGAGAAAGCATCTCAAAAATAGACGTTAAAATAATGATTATGACAAACAAGATAGGCAAAGATGGATACAACATATTACTAAAAAATATTTATTGAGAAATGCTCAATATCAGCAATAAACTTCATACTACGTGCATTATTGTATCGGTTTAAATATATACAGGAAAATATTATATCGAACTAAAATCAAAATAAATACTAATTGGAAAATGTAAGCCTGCCTAATAAAACACATGTAACATATTTACCTGATCTTCTATTCTTAATTTCTTTATTGCCTTCCTAATTCTGTAACTGTGAAGCTAGAATAACATCAAAATATCTAAGCCTAAAAGAAATTGAAAATATTTACATGTAATTTGTAGATTTTCCTTGTATCCATCTTTTCTTAATTGCTTCATTGCCTCCAAAATTCTTCCCTTAAGAAGCAAGAATAACATTAAAAAGATCTAAGCCTAATAAAATTCGTCAAAATATTCATATGTAATGTGTAGATTTTCCTTCTATCTGTTTTTTCTGAATTTTTTCATTGACTTCAGAATTCTGTGCTCGAGAAGCGAGAATATTATTAATATCTAATCCTAATAAAATTCATAAAAATATTTACATGTAATGTGTGTAAAATAGTTGCACTTATTGTGTAGATTTTCCTTGTATTCGTCTTTTTTCAATTTCCTCGTTGTCTTTATAATTCTGTGCCTGTGAAGCTAGAATAACAATAAGCTAGAATAACAATAAACATATCTCAGCCTAAAAAAATTGTAAAATTTTTACATTTATTGTTTTGATTTTCCTTGTATCTTCTTTTGTCAATTTCTTCATTGTCTTCATAATTCTGTGTCTGTGAAGCTAGAAGAACATTAAAAATATTCGAACCTAAAAAAATCGTAAAATATCTACATTTATTGTGTAGATTTTTCTTGTGTCCGTCTTTACCTTAATTTCTCCATTGTCTTCACAATTCTGTGCCTGTGCAGCTAAAATATCATTAACAAAATATCTTCTAAGCCTAAAAAAATCGTAAAATATTTACATTCATTGTGTAGAATTTCCTTGTATCAGTCTTTTCTTAATTTCCTCTTTGTCTTCAGAATTCTGTGCCTGTGAAGCTAGAATATCAATAAAAATATGTAAGCCTAATAATATCCCTATTATTCCTAATGGCGGGAATGGGTCTAAACTAAATCTATCTATAACAAATAAAATATTGAAAACAAAAAAGCCATGGGTAGCCCTGTTAATATTTTTCTTCCTTCGTTGGTGTCACGATATCCTGTTTCCTGAGAAAACATCTTAAAAATAGAAGTCAAAATAATGATTATGACAAATAAGATAGGCAAAGATGGATACAACATACTACTAAAAAATGCTTTATTAAGAAATACTCAATATCAGCAATAAACATCATACTACGTGCATTATTGTATCGGTTTAAATATATACAGGAAAATATTATATCGAACTGAAATCAAAATAAACACTATTTTAAAACACATGTAACATATTTACCTGTATCTTCTATTCTTAATTTCTTCATTGCCTTCTTAATCCTGTAACTGTGAAGCTAGAATAACATCAAAATATCTAAGCCCAAAAGAAATTGAAAATAATTACATGTAATTTGTAGATTTTCCTTGTATCCATCTTTTCTTAATCGCTTCATTGCCTCCATAATTCTGCCCTTGAGAAGCTAGAATAACATTGAAAAGATCTAAGCCTAATAAAATTCGTAAAAATATTTACATGTAATGTGTAGATTTTCCTTCTATCAGTTTTTTCTGAATTTCTTCATTGACTTCAGAATTCTGTGCTCGAGAAGCGAGAATATTAATATTATCTAATCCAAATAAAATTCGTAAAAATATTTACATGTAATGTGTAGATTTTTCTTGTATCAATCTTTTCCTAATTTCCTCATTACCTTCAAAATTCTGTGCCTGAGAAGCGAGAATATTAATAATATCTCATCCTAATAAAATTTGTAAAAATATTCACATGCAATGTGTAGATTTTTCTTGTATCCGCTTTTCTTATTTTCTTCATGGCCTTCATGATTCTGCCCCTGAAACGCTAGAATACCATTAAAAATATCTAAGCCTAATAATATCCCTATTATTCCTAATGGCGGGAATGGGTCTAAATCTATCTATAACAAATAAAATAATAAAAACAAAAAGCCATGGCAATCCCTGTTAATATTTTTCTTTCTTTGTCGGTGTCACGATATCTTGTTTCCTGTGGAAATAATCTCAAAAAATACAAGAAGATAGCCAAATAATGAGAGAGCATTCTACAAAAAACGCCTCATTAAAAAATATACAATATCAATAATAAACAATAATATAAATAATAAATCAATGATATAAAATAAAGGTAATGAAAATATTCTGAAGTAAGAATAACGTAAAACAAAAGAATTATTTCAAATTTTTCCTTCCAGGTTATCAAATACAGAATTGCATTGCAGCGTGTTAAAATACAAATAACAAACGAATTTAGTTTTCTGAGCTATGATTCACTTCATTAATAAGTGTACATTCAAAAATCCGTTTGCAATAATGATTCAATAGTTCACATTACATAAATAGTTAGTTCCTCATGGGTCGACTCTTGTTAAACTTCTGCATTTAATCCTTTTACAGTATGTATGGTAGCTTGGTATAGTTTTAATCAACAGTCTTATTTGATATAGAGTGTATTTGCATGTGCTCCTCCATGCATTTGTTTGCGACCACATATTAGTAACCAATGCACATGCATATGAGCTTAAAGTACGTATGGCAATGGGATACAGTCTCAAACAACAGTCTATTTCTTTATATCAAAGTCCTGTGTGTGGACCCAATGCATTTGTTGGCTAGCACACCTTAGTTATCTTTAACAAAACTCTTCCTCATATTTGAATAATTGAGTTTTTCATTTCTTTCTGAAAACAGAAAGTGTCGTCAAGTTCCATAATTGAGGAATCCTGTAAAAATATTTTATTTATTATGACTTTTTATAGTAGAGAACGTAAATTATGAGCAACTTATTACGTATGATGAGGCCTTACAAGACGCCTATCACGTTCTGGGCGGTGATGCTTCGCGCCATCATCCCTTAAACATATGACTTGCCAGTTTTATCGATATTAACAACTTCACAACTTTGAATATGATTGTAGTCTATTACTGGCAGTGAAATATCCAGTCTACATGAACAAAGTACAAAAGACGAATAATATGTGATGAAATACGACAAATAGTGTGGTGATAAAAATGATTATTGTAGAGGTCGAAACGTATAATGTAGAAGCCAAAACTATCATTGTATAAGGCTTCTAAAGTTTACGACCGACCCATACTCATTTCCAAAAGATGCAAACAATAGCAACCTTAATTTATGCAATATGAATGAACCATATTATAACCAAAATATAATAAAGCAAACAATCCGTTTAATACGGCAATTAAATTAATACTACTTAAACGACAAACTTCTAATGCAAATTAGTTCTTAAATAGCCGACTCACAATGATCCGAAATAATAATAAACAAACAAGAATATGAGAAGACAAGACCGATACAAGATTTTGTTTACGTGAACATGCCTATTTTCTTCCCACGAACAGAAGATGAAATTGCCTTAAAGGGAGTATGTATGAGCGGTATGAGAAGGTATGAGCGGTCGTTCATAAAAAATACAATGCCCGATAACTTTTGAAATAACCCCGGGTCAAATATATATACGAAATGAAACAATTAAACTTTGTCTGTAGCTGAGGAAATGAATCTTAGTAGTAGTATATGTAACCAACTACATGCTTAAGATGGCCTAATAAAATATGCTATTTGATAGCATACGAGTTTTTAATGTTTGCAGTAAAACAGTACATTGTCTTACAACCTATCATTTGATACAATAACGCTTGAAGTGGATATCTATTTTAAACATTAGATTAACGGCCATTAAAATATACTAGAGATTCCAACTAGAGAGATGTACCGATACCACTTGTCAATAAAACGCCGATATCAATATTTTAAAGCAGAAATTGTTGACATTTACATGCTATGTAATTTACAACCTATCATTTGATACAATAACGCATTAAGTGGATATCTATTTTAAACATTACATTAACGGCCATCACATTATACTAGAGATTCCAACTAGAGAGATGTACCGATACCACAACGATAAAACGCCGATATCAATATTTTAAAGCAGAAATTGTTGACATTTACATGCTATGTAATTATTATCTCAAGTGTGCAGTCCAAACTAGTTAAAGTAACAGTTTGCAAGCATTATTCATGCCACACAACTGATACGTTTTTTGATTTGCATACATTGCACACTGACGCTAATAATATCGGTTTGGCTAGAAAACTTATCGGGTTTGGCTACTGTGGGTGGTAAAATAAATAAATGTTCACCCATTCTGTTTAACTGATATATTTCTTCATAATTTCCATGTAATTTTTAAAATGTCAATATGAAAAAGTGGCTGCAAAAATAGCCAAATTAGTTGAGCTAGTTGCTAATAAATGGCTGATATTTCGAGTTGCGTTCGCAGAATTTTATGCCATTATAACGACGTATTTGGTATTTTACACATCGATGAATTCTCATTCGACATATTTCTTCATAATTTTCATGTAATGTTAAAAATGTCAATATAAAAAATTGGCTGCGAAAATAGCCAAATTAGTTGAGCTAGTTGGTCTGATAAATGGCTAAAATCAGGTTATAATCCTATTCCCGTTTCTATTCGCGAGGTTGGGAAACTGCATTGCTCATACTATATCATGGTCTTTTCAAACACAGTTTAACGCACAAACACGTTCTGTTTCATAATCATTATTTTATCTCGGCTTAATGTTATGAATTAGTTTGCCTTTTGTGTATATTTTGCAGTGCAAGCACAAGTTTGACCAGTGCTTCGCATTTGTACAGAGGCATTTTCTAGCATATTGGGTGAGTTTAGGCGCCTTCGGTTAACAGTTAGTTGGACGTATTTTAACCTAAATTTATTCTAACACTCTCCAACATTAAAATGAAAGACAAGTTACAGTAATAAATACGCGGCTATTTGACGAACTGTATGGTAGAACAAGATTACATTGTCATGTCCTTGGGATACCAAAACAAGTTTATGAATGTCCACCTATTAGCAGGGGATCAGCTGAAATAAACGAACAAACGATTAAACGAGGGCTTAATTAATATTACTCGGGATGTGTGCAGTGTAAATTGGATGTTTTCTGGCTTGCCAGCATGTTTGAAACTATTTTCTATGCGCTCGAAAATATGAATATCCAGTGTAAGCGTGAAATATACAACAGTGCAACCTACAACAGATTTAGCAACCAATCACAAAAAAAATCTTTTTTCTTTGCTGTATTGGATACCCGACAGACGGACTGCACCTTCTAAAAAGGAATCAGAACATCAACCGTTGGAATATCAAGCAGACAAACGAGGATGAACAGATAGAGTAATAATCAAACACAACAATATGATACCAATCAAAAACTATATGAAATGTTTTATACATGGAGAAAACAAAATGTGGAATAAAAAACTAGTCTTGACAAAATGAAAAATATGAAATGTTAGGAACTTCGGAAAAAAGGCCCACGAATGAACCTGGACGACTTTTGCGATTATTGCTGTATATCATTGTATTTTATTATTTCTAATTTCGTGTACAAAATGACCACTTATTAGCAGAAAAGCAGCTAAAAAAGAAAAACAAACGATTAAGCGAGGAATTAATAAATATGACTTGGCATGCGCGCAATGTAACTAGGATTTGTCTGGCTTGTCAGTTTGCTTAAAACCGTTAATTTTGCGTTCAAAAATATACCATTTCAATACACATATTAGAAACTATGAATGTCCAGTGGCAACGTCAAATAAATACCAGTTCAGCTATTTAAAACAGAACTAGCCCGCAAACAACAGAAAATATCATTTTACTCCCTACAAGCATTAAAAGTTGATATTTAGGATTGAAAATACGATAAAATTCCGCGAGTAACTGTGTGTTGGCCCGTGAGATAATAAGTAATTACTTTTCACCCAGTTATTTGTGTCTGGTCCTCCTGTATTACAAGTTGTAAACCCCTGTTTGATTTACATTTTATACCACCAAAACTATGTCGTGTCTGACATTGAAACCTAACGGTTCTAATGAATTCACACTGAGAGAGACAAAATCCGAAAAACTTTCGCTTTCAATTAATATATTTTCAGTCAAATATTTGCACCAGTAAATTGCGTTTATTTATGAATCTGTTGTTGTGCATCGCTTCCAAACATCTGATCAAGCGTTTTTGTTATGGAGGAGATATAGTGTGGGGAATCTTGTATAAATAGAAAATGGTATTAGGAACACGAATTTTGCAGTTCCTTCTCTTCACCAAACAGCTTAAGATTTTTGCAAAATACCATTATGAAATACAGCATTGCTCTGTAAAGCACTCGCAAGCCCTAACGAAGAACAAACTGGTTAGTATCGTTATGACAAAATTAAAAAACTCTAAAATTTATTAAAAAAGTTCTGATGTTGCGTGCTTTCAAATCTACCAATTTATTACGCTTTATCGGAGAAGTAGAAGTGACTATTTCATTTCTTTCTTAAATGGCAACATCAAATAAAATAATACCACGTAACGCTGTGTGATTTTTCAAATCCTAGTTAACCTTAACCTTTACGAGCCTGTCGAACCCCTGCGCTATCCTGAAAGCTCTGGCCAAACCTCATTGTACCAAACGGTTGAAATTAGGAGCCCAATCCTAACTTTATAAAGGGGAAGCCTAATTTCGTGCGAGGTTATAGGGAATAAAAAGATTCAGCTTGAAAATCCTTGGTTTGCCATAACAACCCAAGATGTTCCAAAGTCATAGGCAGAAAGCATCTAAGAGCACTATCATCTAAGCCCAAACACCAAAGCGCGCGACATCCGTGGAGATACTGCGCAACGCTATACAAACAGCAACGCTTTTTTATTAGTTTTTAAGTTTAAATATCCGAGATGAACTGTAGTTAAATTTGTATAATTAGTAGACGATGTGATAGAAAAGTCCTATAATACAAAACTGTTTTAATTCAAAGGACCCTCGTCGAACCCCCGAAACAGCTCCAATGAACACCAAAAATTCGATTAAACCATGGTTAAAAACTACTGTTATAAACTGTTGAAAAACTGACAAAACGCTATGGCGACGAAACAAACCCATAAAGTACGAATCAATAAATACTATAAAATGAGGACCGACCAATTGTATCAATGCCCCATTGCCACTATTATAATCCCATTGCTGGCGACTGGCGCATACTTCAATACTTGTCAAACGACGAGAGAACGCCCAAAAAGAAACATAACCCGCGTCTTTTCGGGAATTATGTATAAGAAAATAACAAAGCAGTAAAATTTATTGCATACCAGCTAAAAATTGCACACCTGCCCGTGAACTAACGATTGCATTACATGACTTTACGAAATTATATAAATAAAATTGGGGAAAATATTTTGGACATTTTGAGGATAATTCAAATATTTGCAAATCTTCCAGACTAGCGGGATTTAACATGATATATCAGTTTATACCTGACAAAATTTAAATTGAAAGATTTATAAGATTACATACTTGCTCTTTACTCTCTGGATCATATAGGCTTTCATCTCACTCCGTGATGCACCAGACTATCAACAATGTCGATTCCGTTTGATGCATGACTCTTCCAAGCAGTGTTTTAGAAAACTGAAAATAAATATATAGTTTCATTATCAAGTTTTGGATTTATAAATTACAAAAAAATGCTGTTTGACAGAAGTAAAGCAAGGTTAAGCTTATATTAAAAATGCATAAAAAAAATCAATGTCATGATCATGTGTCCGAGTCTATCTACCTTTAGGTGAAACTAAATTTCGTTGACCTAAGACACTATCAAGTTATTTGAATCACAAAAAATGTTATTTAACAGGAATACAGAGAAGAGATATAGTTGTTCAAACTATGTCGTCATCAATCTTTGGAGTTATAATTAACTGGAGCATGAGAAGCTAAGCTTATACTAGAAGTTTAAAAAAAATAAAAATATTAACTTTTTGTTCAATATAAAATTATTTGCTTATTTTCACGAAAATTACATTTTTTACTTAATTTGAATGATCTGTCAATGCATTATATTGTATCTCATCATATGAATATCGACTGGTCAATTATTTACTAGTGCAGTGGTTTTCAAACGGCGGGGCGCGTCTCACGTGGGGGCGTAAACATTGTAAGGGGATATGAAGCTGATTGATAAAACTTAAAATAGCGTAAAATCTTGTCCGTCTTATTTTCCTAATTTATTTCAATATATACGTCCCATACACGTATTTGCAACGTGCTTCTTGACAAAAACTTCCGCCTCAACTATCTGTGATTTTGTAGCACATAGTTAACTAGTTATTTTGAGGGGGGGGCGCGAGACTTGAGAAATTCCAAGCTTGGGCAGCTCAAAATGTTTGTGTACGACAGGCATTGCATGTTATATTTACTTTATTATTCAGGTCCTTTCTTGTTTTTCTTCCCAACAACTAAAAATATATATTTCATCGAATAATTTTCAATAAGTTACAATAGCCGCAGGCATTGAAGACATTTTACATTCATTTTAAGAACATAACATATTAATACACGAAATAAACTATGAAGAAATAGGGAATATATTTCTAGATTTGAAAACTTATGGACATGAAGGCATGAGTTCTGGAAACACTACCAATGAAGGTCTATACTGGTTTTAAGATATTTACGGTTATAGTATAATATAGGAAATCTAATTTTAGGACACTAACCATATGGTTATACCAGGACCAATGAGTGTGAGATTTGAGGTTATATTAATACACTTATATGTTATCGTTATTTGAAATAGAATTCAACTTCCAAGGCTCAACTGAATATCAATAAGGGTATGAACAGGCAAGGGGGGGTTAACAACTGCATCAATACCCTCTGTCAGATATACTCACATACCATGGTACTTTGCGTGACTACCATTTGTGATGAAACGGGTTTCAAAATGAATGAAAAATGGTATAAGCCATGTAAAATGATAGAATGATAACGACTATGCTTTTAACGAAGTAAGACATGTTAGCCCAGGTACCTCATGATAAACGATTTTAGGGTCGTACACGCATGAATAGAAGATATGAATACTCGCACTTAATAACAGCGCATTATAAATATTACCAGCTTCGAACACTTATCAACATGCAAAATATGGTCACAATGACTACCAAAGATTGCCTGCTTCCTGCTTCGAACACTTATCAATATAAATCGTATGGTTCTACCAAGGATTGCCAGCTTTGAACACTTATCAATCAGCATGAACCGTAAGGTTACTTGGATTACCAAAGATTACCACCTTCAAACACTTACATTATGAACCGTATGATATTGATTACTTGGACTACCAATGATTGCCAGCTTCGGACACTTATCAATATGACTCGTATGGTTATTTGGACTATCAAGGATTGCCAGCTTCGGCCTTCGAACACTAATCTATATTAATCGTATGGTTACTTGGACTACCAAGTATTGTCAGCTTCGAACACTTATCATTATGAAACGCGTGGTTACTAGGACTACCAAGAATTGCCAGCTTTGAACACTTATCAACAGAAATTGTATCGTTACTTGGAGTACCGAGGATTGCAAGCTTCGAACACATATCAACATGAAAGATATCGTCACGCTAATAACCGAATTGCGTAAGTCATTTTTGGCGATTTTGAGTTTTTTATGAAATAGGTATTTATGTAATGCTGCGCACCTGTCTGTTAATTCAGATTTTATTTTAAGAATTCCGACCGAAACCCATAAAAGGAGATTTAGTATGACATGCACATTTGTGCAATTGTTTCGTCATAATGAATTATCATTGTTACCGCTGAAATATTGTGACGTCACAAAGGCAAAATAACCTCTGCGAAGTATTTTCAAGTTTTTGCATCTTGGATTCTAGCTTAGCGCGTATTAATTTGAATTTATACTACAGTATAGGAAGACGTGCACTTGTGATATTCACTATCCGAGTCCAATTCACCTTGGTTGGTTTTTATATTGGGTGCATTGCTATTTTATTCTTTATATTTAATCTTAGTCTTATTTCGGTGGGTGTGCAGAACGTGTTATTTGATGAAATATATATTTTTAAACATAAAAAGTAATGTAATTGAAACTGATTAGCTAATTTGGGGATTAGACATTGTAGATACTGAGAATTACATTCGTTTTTGGAATGTTTAGTTTTCAGGACTGGTTTATATAGTAAAGTTTGCATATGTCCCCAAGCCATAGTCACAGTGCGCCATTATGACGCCACTTAACTGCGTCATAAAAATTAACTTAAATCCGGCTACGATTTCAAAAATTGAACCATGGCAAATTATTGACTCTCAATGGCATAACAATATCATTAGGAAGTTTTTTACGTTTTTCTCAAAACTGCTAAAAATGACTTACGCAATTTGGTTATTAGCGTGACAATATAGTCATCGGTTACTAGGACTATCAAGGGAAGTATAATTCGGGTGTAGGGGATTTACGGCTACATTGGTGCAATTGGCCTAATTTATATATTATCCTTATTGCAAATTTCAATTTGGGACAAGAGAATTACATGGTTAACCAGTACCGAAGGTAGTAAAATTAACGGTTATATTAATGTGGTACTTGATCAGACTCACTCCAATATTGCCAGTATTGAAAATTTACTGCGATTCTGGATTGGAAACCCCCCAAGGTGGGCGAATTCGATCCAGAAATTAGCAATAGGGAGATGGGGGGGTCTTATAATCTGTTTTTGTTCGCGCAATCTGAGTTTGCAGATGTGAATTGTGGGGGGGATCGCTGGAATACTCCCCCGTTAGGTAGTTCGCGTAGCCCGGGGGGCGGCAACCAACGGCTCGTGAACATGATCCGACCCGCGGTTTAAAATAATTCGGCTCGCGACGCTTCGCTGAATTATAAGGACAAAACGGCGGGTTTGAATTAATTTTTCAAACTACACTCGGAGGGTAGATTATATTTTTTACGTAAGAGAATTTATCGTGAGACATGTTTAGAGTAAATTATATTATAACCTAATAATCTAGTGAACAGTTAGTCGTTTAAAGAGCCCACAATTTAAATATAATTAGACGAATGGGAACACGCAAAAATTGATGCTGAGTACACTGTGTAGGGGTTCAATAGCGCAGAAATTTTTTTTAAATGGAGTTCCTTGAAATGCATTGAAATGAAGAAATAAAATTCATGTTATATTCGAGAGATGCATCAAAGCGTGATTTTCATGAAGATGTATTTTTTTTAATGAAAACCTCTCATAAATTGACAAACCATGCAAAAAAGGCAGAAGGCAGAAACCTTGATTCTTTCATTTACGACCTCTTACATTGTGGAGAAGGGGTTTGTAACAATGAAACAAGTGCTATCAAAACAACGAAATTGCCGTTTGATTAGTAAACGGGGGATTTGAGTTTGTAGGTGACGAAAATGTCACCAAAAATTAAAATAAATACTCTTTGGAAAACCACTAAGCTAATCTATCTCATTAAAACATTATAAACTATGATTTATCTTGTTTATTTGTTCTGTAATATATTCGTTTCTGACCTCAAACGTTTTTGTAAACTGGGGGTAATGAAGTTGTATATATTACTGTATAATTAAAAACTGCGACTAGAAATTTGGGAACCACTGGTATAGACCATGATAATTTACAGTTACAATTCTGAGCTTAGTCGGATTCTTTTTTATAGTATGATACTATTTTGTGACAAAAACGAGTTTGGCGAAATCCATAACGAAATTTCTTACCATCATTTGCCCGGGAATCTTACGATTTTTGTGTCCCACGTGTCCCATGGGAAATAAAAATGTGTGTTGTCCCATCCCATCTCATGGGACGTTTCCCATAGACAAGTTTGGACATAGGGTAACTATCGCGATAATGCGTATTCATATTAAGTTTTTGGCCATTTGGAAGCGTTACCACAAAATCTTAAGATGGTAAGCTGGAAAGAATATTTAAATATCAGATGCAAACAGCTCTTTCTCAAAGAGATGGTAAAATTGTACAATATTCTGCCTAAAACTCAGCTATTATACAACGATACAACGATACTTCAAACACTCTTACGAAAATTTCTTTCTTGGTCTATTAGTGCATGCATAGGTTCTCAAAGAGCTCTGTGAGAGAAACTTAGACACTCCGCGAGCCATTCGATTACTTATTAAAATACTGACTCGGCTAATTTTGTGACTGTCAAAAGAAGTAATAACATCATTAATAAAATTTGACATCAGTAGCGTCAAAATATGACAACGAGCGTAAATTCAAATGTGACATTATCTATAAGTAGGATCGCAGTGGATAAAAAGTTGTCTCTCGAGTAAAATATTCAATTCATAGCCGGTGCGAGCATTTAAAATATCTTGTCATAGTAATTTCATAGTAATTCATTTGTGTTCTTCGTTCTCGAATTTTAGTCGAGAAAACTTTTACGAATATTAAAATGAAAATTTACTATTTAAAAACTGCATAAAATATGTCCCAAACTGCCACTTATAAGTAGACCGGAATCGTATTTTGAAGTTAGTTAAATTTGATTTGTTTTTTCGGCACTCAAAATTATTTTAAAGATATGGACAAAATACGAACGATTGTAATTTAAAATATTGCAAAAAACAATTGTTTGATATATTTTGCAATAATTATCTTATATATCATCACATACCGAGAAAAAGTCGTATTGGGCTTCATCGGTAGTTTCAAAATAGACAAAAGGTACATCACGCGAACAATTTACAGTGTTTCGATTTCAGTTACTATATGGTATACATTTTAAAGAAATCCTAACATAACAATCTGCTGCGAGACTGCTAGAACAAAACTTATGGTGATATCTTCCGTTTTAGATTTTAGTTTTAATATTTTATAATGCCGGTTTTCAATCAAGAAATTGGGTTGCGGATTCACCTCTTTATCATTTATTCTTAGCATCTCTTCAGCGATTTTAATATTATAGCATTCTAACTTTATTCGCACACTGAACTCATAATTCCAAACAAGAACGAAAAAGTTATCGTCGGCCTCCTGGAACAATACATTCATACGTCAAGAAAATTTGTGTTTCAGGGAGAATAAGCACATAAGTTGTTTAAAAACACAAAAACAAAAAACTATCGGCGTTTCTACCAAAATGCCCTCGCGTACGTTATTAGGACATTTTCAGTATTCCAAAACACCAAAAGAGTGTTTGACTCCAAATTTGATATTATGTTTGTTGAGTTTACAGCCTTAATATAATTAATTAATTTATCTGTGAAATCTAGATTTATTTATGTCTGGTATTGCGCCTATTAAAATGTTCAGCATTTAAATTAAGTAGGGAATTTCAACTAACTTAAGAATAGTAATAGATAACAATTTTAAAATTTCTTGTATATCCGTGAATAATGGTGATGAATGTAGGAAGATTCAAATTATTTTAATAACATACTTGCTCTTTAGACTCGAGGCAGCCACCTCTCTCAGTGATGCAAAATCGGAAAAATAATTCCGCATGTCTTCCGATATAATGATAGATTGTCTTTCCCGCTTTCAAGAAGTCTTTCAGGAAGCTGAAATTTATATGAAGTAATGAAATGTAGGTAAATTGTGTATAATATTGATTTGAATTATATATAGTTGTTCGAACTATATCATTATTAGGTTTTAGGTTTATAAGTTACAGAAAATGTAATTTCGCAGGAGCACAGAGAAGCTGTGCTTATACTTTAGTTAAATACATAAAAATAAAAATATTAATTTTCAGTTCATTGATAAATTATTCAGATTTCCCCCAAAATTACAAATATTACTTTGGATTGATTTGTCAGTGTTACACATTATATAAATTATATTTATATTCATTGAAGGGCACGTTGAAAATACGGCTACATATTCAAGAAATGAAAATATTAAAATTAGGACGGGAAAGATAAAATCTAACAAATATTTCTATTCCTATTTATTTACACCCCTCAAAAAATTGTTCACACCCTTGTGATAAGCTATGCTCATTCTAAAGATACAAAGACGACAACTTGTAGCCTACTGATATTCATTTACGTTCATTCGATATTGTTTGCAAATTTTCAATATTATAAATATTACTCATTTGGAATGATCTGTCAGTGTGCTATGTTGTATCTCACTATCTAAATCTTAACTAGTTAATTATTCATTAGTGTGTTATATTTTACCTTCAAGATCTCTATAGTCTTTCCTTCCCAGCGAATTCCTGAAAATATACGTCAATAAATAACTTCAGCCACAGTCATTGTAGACATTATATAATATATATATATATATATACTACGGAATGAACGATAGCAAAATAAGGAATATATTTCCAGATTCGAACACTTATGAACATGTGACGGTATGAATACTGAAACTACTAGCAACGAGAATATAGGCTGACTATAGTTGATTTACAATTTGGTGGGATCTCATGTATATATATAGTAACATTTTTGGAATCAAACTGGTTATCGAGCAGCGACACCCAAGTTTCTAATATCTAATTAAAAAAGTAAAAACTCTAGAGTTTTGAAACTACTATATCTTGTATTGACGGTGAGTGCCGTATGAAAGATCGAATCAACTGAAGAATCTTAAATGGTCTTAGTTGGGGTGGAGATTCTACAGTTGGTCTGACTTGGGGTGGAGATTATTCAGTGTGTCCGAAAGATCTAACTAACACCACTCAGTAGAGAATATTTAGGATACAGTTAATATTACGCACTCTGATAATATCATTATTGGAAATTCCAGTTTGAACTAGTTGGGAACATCAATGACATGGGTATCAACTGTTTACTACCGGAGCGTGCAGGTCACGACGAGCCACAGTTACATTTAGGAAATTAGCTTGATTACTTATACTGTATGGTAGTTAGTGTGAACTACCATTTGCGGCAAAAACGCTCATCAGATTAATAAAAAAGGCCAGGACTACAATTTCAACAAATTAGGCATATTAGTGTTTATATAGGCACCCTATGATAAACAACAAGTTTAACAATAAGTTTTATTTATCGCATGGTTATTAAGTTGGGGTTGTGTTTTACCCAAATTGCACTTAATGAGGCATAGTTCAAATCTTTTCAGTATCTCTGCAGATATACACTGCTGGATTAACTTATAATATCACTATGAAAAAAATTCACTGTTTGTCGTAATCACAACGTGACGCCCTATTGCGATGAAACGCCTTTTATTTATGCTGGCCTAATGACCTTTAAATAAACTGACATTGCAAGATAGTAATTGGCCTTTCGGTTTGGTCGATTAAACGATACGACAGCAGATGGGACAAAACAGCAACTAGTCCCTGAACGGGCAGCGCTGTACTGACTACGCCATTATTCACCGGATATTGCTACAGTTAATTTGTAATACAGAACAATTTATTCCGCGATTATACGAAATGAACATGGTATGGTTTGAACAGATTTTGCCTTATACAATTATGAGCGTGCATTGGTTTAAGTAAGACTCTTTTTTGAATATTTTCTTCCAAAAATATACGTAAGTTTTAATAAAATACGTAACGGGTAAATTTCGACATTTAATTTCATAAAATCCAAAACTTAGAAAATAGAAAATTTGGCGAATAAAATTTATTCAGCGATTGCCATTAAATTTCAAATATATACTTTACATATACCTATCAGGTGTAGTTTTCAGACTGCACAAATTCGCAAATATTACAATAACAATAAAATACCCAATAAAGTTTTATACTTGTTTCATGGAGTATATGAATAACTATCTCTGATCAGTAACTTGTAGCATTATCAAATTGTTCACGGTAGGGATCGCAATTCAGCAAGGAAGCGCGAATTTTAGGGGTCGCAAAGAGTACACCAATTTGATTCAAGGTAGGCTACTATATTTATAGTACTTTTTTGGACTTCTGCTTCGAAACACAATTATTGAAAAAAAAAATCTAAATCTTACAATTTCGATAGAATACACATGATCAAACAAGTGGCATAACAATGCTGACTCTGATCGCAAGAACTGAGACGTGGTGTGCCCGCATCGAATTGTTTAGCATTTTAAACGAAAACAGTGGTATACAGGAATCAATAGACGTCGAAAGCCAAATAAAATGTTCAAATAATATTTACTTGTAATATTCCTCGTTCGTTACTTTGAGTCTTTGAATCTTTAACTTTTAATATTTCTGAATCTGGAAAAAAAGTTAAAACATAGATAAATAGACTGTCGCAGAACTGTAGCTAGCATATTGAATAGACAGTGGGACTGAATCTATCGGATCTTTTGCACAAAGCTCCCCCCGCGTTTTCAAATGACATATTAGTAATTATCCATTTAGGGTTAGTTAGGAATGATTTAAAAATTTGAATTCCCAGCGCAATCTGCATTTCTGACTTAAACTGGATAATTACTAATTCTCTATTTTGAACGTTAGTAGGGTCTTTGTACAAAGATCCAATCTATACCCAATAATACATAAGTAAAGGCGTACTACGAATCTCTATGGATTTTGCGCTACATTTGCGAAGTTTTGAAAGTTATGCATTACATTCATGTAAAGCGTACCATGTTAAATGCAGCTTACGTAGTTACGTAGATCAGTGTATTACGTTTAAGTTTTCTATTATGATAAGTTTATGTATTGCCATATAGCTTTAAAGTTTGGCTTATTTGTGACGAAACGATGGAACCCGCTGTTAGTGAGTTCGATACAAAAGAGAAATATCCATCAATCCGTACTTCTGTATTAGGTTAATAATTCCGATTCGTATAGACTCGAAAACCTCTAATTTACCACTTATACAATAGTAAAATGAAAGCAATATAATAGCAATGAAAGTAATAGATATAAAGAACATTTAACTCACCTGAATATTGTTTCGAACTCACTGTCATAACCCAATAGTCAACCTATCCATACATCCTACAGAACATCAAACCTCATCCTAACACATTTGTGACTGACTAAAAGCGATGTTGCTTGTGGCTTCCCGCGCAAAAATATTTGACGAAAAAAGCTAACTGATTGTTGACAATCAAATGTTTCTAATGATTACTTTAATTACTCCAGGTTGTCGTTACGAGCCGATCAGGCTTCTGAAGCGTGATCTCAAAGTTGCAGAATGCAAATGACGGTTGGGATTTGCTTCATACATCGTATAATACCTAGTTCACGGTAATATTCTCAGGATCTTTTGTACCAAGTCCCGCCCCAAAACAACACCCCGCCAACGCTCGAATCAAATAGAAATGGTAATTATTCAGTAAAGGTGAGAGATGCAGATTCAGCCGGTTATTCAAATCGTTCCTACCCAAAACCCTAACTGCATAATTACCTATTTTTTATTATAAAACGTGACAGGGGTGTCACACATTTTTGCATCAGTGACGAGAGCTTAGTACAAAGAATCCAGCAATTCCATTATATTTGTCTGTTTATATTTGTCGAGTAAACGCGCACGTGAATGCCATCAAAAATTTAACCTTCCTACAACTCAATGAAAGAATAACGGCGTGTACAAGTTTAGCGTTATATCAATGCATTCTCTGCATTGGCGTACAAATCTTAGCTCATTAACTGCGCAGCCAAGAATACTTTTAAGTTTTCTTACATAACGTGCGGGCGATGTCGTTAAAAGGGAGGTCATAATGTGACGTTGTTTCGATGCCTACTAATAGTAATTTCTTCGCCCAAACCAAACGGCGAGACATAACATCAGCAACAGGATTAATCACGGTTCTATGTGAAGTAAATAATTGACTGCTCAAGACAAGAGCATACCGACGACAACAACTGATGATATATAGATCAACTATTCGAGACCATTCAAATATTTGGTGTTATGGAGCTCGTGAAGAGGTGGACTGTTATTGACGTAGCCCCACAATAAGAACGTAACAAAAACAAATTGTTACTTAGCGATCAATATTGATGGGTGAATTGAAATTACTCTATTTAATACCTCGGATGTATTTGCTGCTGCTTAAATTTTATTAATGCCATTTTGAGTAGACGAATAGATCGCGGAGACCTTAGGTCCGTTTGAAGCACTTTGAGTCTGTCTCTAGATTAGACCTCTTGGTAAAGAACGATCATGATACAGGTATGTAAGGCCGTAAAGAACAATCCTGAGATTTCAACACCCAGGGGAAGGGTATACACGTATTATAATGTATTTAGTATCTATGTCAGCCAGTGCACTGCAGCTGACTACGTTTGCGTTGAGTGGCGCATCGTGCTAAGCCCTAGGAATGCGCTTGATTTCTAACCTAAGACTACCCGCTTAGATTCGCAGGTTCAAATCCCGTAGGGGATAATTTAGTACCAGAGGATTGCTGGCGGCTTCCTCCCGCCACCCCTACCCCAAGCCAGCACAGCCACCGAACACTTGCACTTTTTAGTCGCTCGCGGAACACCAAAAATGAGTAAATAAAGAATTGTGTAAATGCAATACCTAAAATATTGGATATTTTTTTTGTTTTTTAATTTAAATGCTGGGTATATGAATTAATAAATTATTTTACCTTTCCATTACTTTTCATTACGTAGTGTGTGCCTTTAATGTTACGTAACAATGAAGTACTTTTATTTATCTGCTCAATCTATTATTATTTATCCACTGAATCGAGTTTAGCAAACATAAGTAATTTTTTCCGCATTTTAAAGTGTAACCAGGCAGAGGTGGAGGAAGAAAAGTTGACCTTTTGCCATTATCCTTTAGGCATACATGTTTACCTACAGCAAAACCAAAGCTGTAAACTTGATATTGAACTTGACAATCAAAAAGCTAGGCCGACGGTTAACGAAAATGCCACCACCCGCAAAAAGTTTGTCAGCTTTAGGCCGACGGTGACGCGATATTCAACAGTCGTTAGTTGGGCGACAACTTTACGATGGTGATTGACATGGCGACCAATTTAGCCCTAAGCGAACGATATAAAAAAGATGTTTTCTTGTAGGCTTTCCCACTACCTGCGGAAAAAATCTCATGGTATAATTTTTGCAGCCATGGATCAAACATTTACATAAAGTCATCAGCTTCACAAAACTGGGGCTCCACGTCTCAACTTCATAACTTTGGACGCGGGTAGGGCTAGCCTAAATTTTACTGACTGGAAAAATTGGCCCGACTTGGCTCAGTTGAATGATTCGTGTCAACCATAACATCGACTGTCGGATTTTGTTGATTCATGCACAATTTCATTGATCATTTGAGGGCTCTCTTCAAACTTTCCAAGCTGAGAAAGAACACAAGAGAATCGATTCCGGCAACTAAACTATCGCACTATTAGATTCCTCAAGCTTCTTAAATGTTCCACTGGGGTTATGCTTCACAAAATGAAAATTCAAAACCACTGGGTTGCATCAATAAATGATTCCATGTTTAATAACTAGACTAACTGGACAGCATAACCGATTTACTAATCTCATAACCCACACGGACTGGTAACCTGACAAGAGGGCGTGGTATTCAGATAGGTGTTAGCGTGAAAAGGATAGGGTTAGTGGCAGAAACAGGCAGAATGGCCATGACACAGGAAGGAAGTTAGAATCCAGGTAGTGTGGGTAGGTCAGGGTCAGTGGCAGAACGCAGAGATAGTGGCTGAAAACACGAATGAAGTTGTAAACAATGTGGAGCAGGTCAGGGTCAGTTGCAGAAAGCAGACATAGTGGCCAAAGCAACAGTCATGTAGTCAGAAACAAGGTACAGTGAGTGGGAAGGACAAGGCTGGCTGCAATCTGCATTATTGGACACTTTAGTGGACATAACGATCGTTTTGTTATTATGTTGTTGTTGTTCTTTGTAACAGAAGCCTCTCTCTTTGATTTCCTCATATTCAGTGCTAAAAGACTAAACTTTTCGCTAGAAAGCTATTACTTTCATTTATTTCAAATATCCCGGTGTGCTGTATGGGATTCGTTTCATTGTGTGATATGACGTCATCACAGTTTTGCCCTATGTTGCGCTATGTACCCATAATTTGAGCATAACTCCATTTGATTGTTCACAGCGTACTCGATTAGTAATTTTTACCCAATGTTTGATGAACACAATTGCTACGACACCGTCACTCCCACCACTTCAAGGCAAACCATATGCTTATTTTGTCTCATATTCTTTTGAACGATCTATAGACACCCACCCATTGAATATATTTATGACGTTTGGTTGTAAAATAGGAAATATGCAATTTATATGTATGTATTCCTATTTTATCGATTTGGTCGACAACACGGGGATATTTTCCTTGTATTTGGGCGACGGAAATATTTGGGCCCCATTTTGATGTCGCGCTCAGCTTGGGCTTTATTTCCTTTAAGAATTCCTTGAGCAAAAAGTCTGAAACTTTTAGTGATTCTGGTTCTTGTCGACAGTTTCTAAGCCCAGCTATCTATCCTGTAATTACTATTGCTAAATTGGGGCTACAAATATAATATATCATAATTTGAATTTTAGATCAAATAACGTTAGCGTGGTCCAGTCATGTACTTTTACCTTCGTCAAATATTTTTTTGTAAATATGTATGTTATATTATCTTGTGAAATAAATTAAACTCTTGTTTTCCCAATTGCAGATGTGGGGAATTACGATGCTAACAGCAGATCATTGAACGTGTAAGTCTTTTTGAAGATCATGGAACGGGAAATTCTGCAAGCAAACCTGGGAACATTAAAAAAACAGACAAGAAGCAAAGCGCCTTATTTCCATTTGAGAATTTAATAAATGAAAGACGTTAAGAGGTTCAATATATGATTAAAGAAATATATTCTTCCTTGTACAGTATATAAGATGATTCGGAGACATTCAAAAATGTGGAAGGAAAGATGGTATTTGGAGAATGAAGAATTCGGTTAGGATAAGACTAGTAAACATTGCCAGAAAATTCATATGGTTAATCTGAAAAAAGTATGTTCAGCAAATATATGGGAAAAAAGACAAATTGGCCGAATATCCATAGGCCATTGGTATGATTGGAAAGTTATTTATCAGCCAGGTGAAACTAAAAGTAAATGAGAAATAAATTTACTCTCACATTCTCTTTAAAATACTCAATTTTTTATATGTAATATCGCCCTCTTTTCTAAGTTTCTGATAATGCATCTTTCAATTGGTTTTTAAATTCTTTAAAATTTCGGCACGAAACACGCGCACAAATCAATTTTTGATCTACATATTGATTTTCCCTTATCTTAAAAATGAAACTGGTTCTGAACCATGCCCATTGGCAAATGAATATAGGTTATTTTTATTCATTGTAAAAATTGTTCGAAATACCTTCATAACGTTTCTGACTTTGAATCGCTGACAACGAAATACTAGAAAAAGTTGGTGCGTGATATATAGCGGTCGTGGCGATATTTATTGTTGATTACTGTGTACTTTTACTAGGATTTTTCCATTGTTGTAAACATAATATTAATTACATTAACTGGCGTAACTATTTCCGACTATCAAATAAGCAAATCAGTTATAATGGCCTATACACTGTGGACTAATTTGGACGCATCCACTCAGATAAATATATGCCTGAAATTGAAAATTGAAAGCACTTAGCTCTGAAATTTTCTAACGAACTGGAACTCTGGCAACTCATTATTCTTTAGCGACAGCATTCCTAATTAAACAAATGGGGTACAATTGTTGCTGAGACTTGTGGCAACGTAGGAATTAGGACACGTCTATGTACGGAAAGTCTGAATTGCTCCTGACGATGCCGAGTTATTTCGTTTTCCACCCCCATTCCCTCTTGCTCTCCAGTTTTAAATATATATTATGCAACTTACGGTCATCAGAACATATGCATTTATTAGGAAAAGTTTCTGGTAATGGTAAAAGTTTTCTGGAAATGGTAACTATATTTGAAAGAATATATTTTATTTCAAAGAACGGTAATTATTCAGGTGATGGTTCGATTTAATGGTGGGAGGTACCAAAATACAAC